TTTCTTTTTCCTTGCTCAAAATGAACGGATAAATATTATATGCAATTTGAAAATCAATAGTAAAAATAAACTACAAATAAATCATTTATATACTGTGAAAGTTTGTACAAGTGCAATTATCTAGAGCATATTTAATTAATCTCTCCTACTCACCCACACTTTTTCAAAAAACCCAACTATTCCTAGTTTTCCAGAGTCACGCTCGTAGAAGATAAGTAGATAGGCTTATTCTATCTATAATGGCTACAACATATTCAGCATTATAATTATCTAACCAACAAGTCCCAAACCCAACTGAGTCTCACTCGAAATTCCTACTTATTACTTTCCATAAATCCGCTCCAAATTCCTACTCATTAGTTTCTAGAAACAATTAAATAACTACTCTTTGATACTCTTCAACACTTAATAAAAATTCATTACATGCGAAAATGCGGATGAAACAAACACAATAAATACCAACAAATCATTTTCTTCTTAAAAGAACAATCTATCTCGTACTAGTAAAAATGAATCAAACAAACTTCAAAAAATTCCGATCACAAGCATCTCCAGCATCGGTGAATGGAAGAAGCCATCGAAAGTAAGGGAAAGCTCGACAGTGGCATCCAGGAAGAAACATGACATTCCCATCCACTCTACTCATCTCCTCCAAACTATTATCCTTGTCCAGGTTGCATCTGAGGATAACAAGAGAGCTGCCAAAGTAGATCACATTTGAGTGTGGATCAAAAGCAACCGGCCCAATCCAATGACAACCATCAGGGGCATCCGCTTTGTTAAGCAAAATACCACTAGTCAAATCATAAATATTAATTTTGTGCTTCAAATCCCAACTCCATACATCACTGTTGACAATTTTCTCGAGCGACCATAAGTATAACACATTGCATGATTCATTCGCGTACATAAACCGGTCCATTTGTACCCCCATGCATCCCATCAAGCCATCACACTCTCTATAACTCAAAGGAAGGCCGGTCACGCTAATACTCACACTCTTCAGATCAAACCGTATGAGGTTCCACGTATCGGATAATCGAAATAAATCCCCATCGAAGTACACCGCGGGACTCAACAATAAACCCTTGCGCACGCATTGGTCCACCTTTAGTTTGCGTCTAGCCCAAATCCTCCCAAACGAATAGTATATGTCTACAAGAACATCACGGTATGGGGACCCGTCCACCCGTACAACTTTGTAGCGAGTTGACCCACGAGAGGGATCGAATGCAAGTGCACCACAAACAAATGTTTGCATCAAAAATGGAGGACGAGGGATTGACACATATTGCCTGGTCAATGGATTACAGACATAATATAGTCTGGAATCTAAGTCCAGAAATAAGAGCAGGCCATTACAACAATGGAGCAGATCAACCGCAACTGGTCTAAATGGCAACCCAAAAGAGCTAAAGCAGTCATCCCAATGTAATAAGGGTTGTCCTTTCTCTTCACCTTCTTCTAGAGGTAGATAGTTACCAATCATTCTTCTCCCGGAGACTAGTGTGGGCAGGCCATCCGTATGAGAATAGGAATAAACACGCAAAGCTGATCTCATGATGAATTGAGGATCCGTAGAACGAGCACTGTATGTTAGAAGAAACAGTCCAACTACAGGCTTTATACTCCGGCGAACACACATTCGAGAAATCGACAAGTGCCAGTGTTTGGATAAGACTTTGAGGCGGACAAGAGACTTATCCGGCAGCCTAAGGAAGATTTCAAACAAGATGTCATCTGGTAAACCCTGGAAGATGGCAAACAAGATTTCATCTGGTAAAGTCCTTGTCATGTTGCACAAGGGATAATAACCACTTAAATTTCAATAATAACGGAATAGCTGACCTGAATAAAGATTCGTGATTTTAGCACAGGGATAAAACTAAGAATCGATTGCAATCGATTTTATCATATTCGTAATTTTGTGTAAGCATAAGAATATGAACGGATTGAGCCGAATACAGAAAATTAATTATAGATCAAAATACTGAGCACAAAACCTGATAATTAGTGCCTCCAATTTTCAGTTGTTTAATGGGTTTCAGCAGAATGAACAATGAGATGCCACAATATTCGTCTTTTCGAATTTATACATGTCCCAGGATGATGAATGGGGAAAAGGTGAAGTGTGGTAGTTGATATATTAGTCCATACGATTTTTTTTTTTTTTTTT